ACACACACACACACACTAAAAGCAGGCACTTGCTTATCTACGAAGCTGCAGACAGTGGAACCTGTGCAGTTTACACACACACACAAACAAACAACACTAAATTTCATAAACATGTTACACCATTAAAGTTCCATTTTGGGCATTAAAACATTCACACACTCACAGGGAAATAAAAGCCTTTTATCAAATTATTTTCCCTCAAAGGACCCTTATCATCTTCTACATCAGTGATTAGTGATTTCCTGCATTTCCCAGAATTCCCTGTGGCACAAAGAAGGGGCTTATGGTTCTTTCTTCTTCTTTCTTATGCTGTTGCCTTCACTGCAGTCAGTCGGTCCTCATCAAGCTGAAAATGACCATGTGACCATGTTATACATTATGATATTTACAGTGATTATCAACGTGTGTTGTTTCTGTATTGCTTCCTGGTGTATTTCTGTCTGTGGGTGCAGAAATCGGTTTCTCTGCCTGAGATTAATTTCTGCTGTCATTGTTGAAAACATTAAATGTTGACAGTTGCAGTTTTAGAAACAAAGTCTTTGTAATTCTGGCCGAGCACTAAAACATGATGTTTACAGTAGATACTGATATCAGACTCCATCCAACTGCTGTTTGGAATCATTTGTCTTTGACAAGCTATAATCAGTGCAGAATCATCAAACAACAACTAGAGCCAGAAATGTTTCCTTCATTTATTGTTTTTATTTTTCACTTTCACAGACAGACACACGAGGGCTGAGGGAGTGTGCACATAAACATATTTCTATTAGCTTTCTCTCACATACACACTCTGATTTCATCTGTTCTCAACCATATTTCCAACCAAAGACAACTACTTGAAGTGTATTAGTGATAGTAAATATATGGTACAGTAGACATGACAGGCTTTGTAACGAGAGAGAGTATAAAGGATGAGTTTTATAAGCTGTGGAAATGTTTATATTTTAGTCTTAGTCAGACTTTGGATCTAATTGTTTTGGATACAATGATTTTACTTTTTTATCTTCCCTCACTGCTGTCACAATGTTTTTTTCATGCACAAGCTCAGCTCACCATATATAAACCGTAGAAACCTGGTTACGCATCTATCTCATCGACTGTATAGATAGAGATCTAGATATAGAGATCTATATACAGTTTGTTAAAACCAGGTGTCTCGCAAAAAAAGAATGCGTTTCTCCATTACATGATGTTTAAGAAACCAGGTTGCTGCAGAAACAGTAACTGATTAATTAAGTGCATGTTAACACAGCGACAGTCGAACAGGAACACACAAACTTAAAGCTTCATGTAAACAGTGTCTTCCTCAAGCTCACAAACACACACACACACACACAAACACGCACAGAAACTTGACTACTGTGAGGGTGGGGGGTCACGTTAGCAGTGGGACTGGAGCTAATTGGCGCCTTCCCAGGGATATTGTAAGTGGCACAATCGCAGGGTTCAAGCACAGCTCACCTTTGACCTTTTCATTACAGCGAGAAACAGAGCTAGAGAGAGAGAGTAATAGACTGTCCCTTTATCTGTTGCATGTCTCACCGGAGTGTGAGAGGAAAGTGGACTGTGAATGGAAAAACAGAGATGTGATCTGCTGTATTATAGGGAGCAAAGCATGTATTAACTGTCGCTTGTACACACACACAAAAAGGGGATTAAAAGGGTTTCAGATAGAAAACTAATACAGTGTACAGTGACCTAACAGTCGGTCCCTCTTGTCATTTGTAATTACTGCAGTAGTCTTTAGGGTTCTTAAAAGGACCATATCTGTGTTTTTAATCACACCACAGCTGGCCAGAATTTCACATAATCATAAAACACACTTTAAACTGTACAGGTTTGGTTCAAATAAACCCTTTTTTCCCAGAGTTAGAAAAGAAAATAGTCCCGAAATGGGTTGCTATGGCTGCCATGCCATGTTGTTTAATCCAGAAACTGCCATAATATCCAGGTATCTATCGTTCACCACCAAACTCAATAGACAAAAAACTCATTTTACTATGCATATCATTGAAGCATTATAACATCATTCATAGTGGACAGAAATAAAACTCACCAAAACTGTCTTTGTTAGTCTTTCCACTATTCCAACAATCACCAACCACCAAATTGTAAGTTTCAGTCCGTGTGCGGCTGCATACAGCGAGCCGCACACGGAGCAGACGGCTATGTAAACAAACCACAGAGAGGCTGCGATAGCAACACAGGCTCCACACGACTCCACTATGTTTACACAGCAAATAGGTGTTTGCTGCTCTAGTGATATTCCAAATCTCATATCGAACTTAAGATTTGAGATTGATGAAAGTCTATATTGCATTACTACAGAACCCCGTTGCAAAGAAAACAAAAGAACAAAGAAATGGATGATTTCTCATAATAAGGACTCAAGTATCTTATAATTATTATAATAATGAGATCCTTTATCTGAGAATTGCACATTCATACATTACATCATAACGACAATGTTACTGTGATGGATGACACAGTTCCAGACTTTTATGTTGTACAGAAATTAATGGAAACCAAAACTGCACAGAGCAGTAGAAATAAATCCAGTGTGGTTTTATAACTATTTAGTTAGCTGTGATGTGAAATATAAATCTGCTAAATACTATTACTATTAATTAGTTTATCTGACAGTTTTAGTCCCACATGTTGGCATCTCAGAAATCAGGATTATGTTTTTATTTTTGCATAAGAAATGCAACATTTGCTGCATTTTGGCTGGAAGTTGGCTGACAAACACAACAACAAGGAGACTCAAATTCAACAAAAGTGGAAGAAATTTGGAAAGTTAATGATATTGTGAACATGCATAGATTTGGTTTAGAGTATTTCATCTTTGAACAGGCTGAAACAATGTTGTTACAGTAAGTTAAGTTTTAGTCACATCTGTAGAAGATTCTTGAGGGAAACACAGACTCTGTTGAGCCCACCAGAAATACTGGCTGTAAATTCCTAAATCACAAAAGGTCTTCAGGTAACAGGCCAACAAACACATTTTAGCATACTGCTGTTGACACCTTGTGACTTAAGGTTTGCTTATGTTATGACGAAGGATGATGAGAATATTCCGCCATCCTAGGGACTCATTTTAAGCTTCAGCTGCTTTTCTAAACTGCTGAAAAGGTGACATTTTGGAGATAGGAGGTTCTGATGTGACACATACTGTATGTTCACAGTATATTGTGACCATATTGATTTTGTTCTTGTGTTTCTGTGTTCTCTCACATTCTCTCTCTCTGTGGAGCTGACTCGACCTTTTTCCTCCTCCTGTCTGTAACACACTCCTCCTTTCCTTCTCTCCTCAATGCTTTCACTCTTTCACTGAATCTCTCTCTCTCTCTTTCTCTC